GTATTTGATTCTGTTACTAAAAATTTGCGAACAAATTATAGAGTCAAAAAATTGACCCTCGACATTTTTTTCGACCCTCGACATTTTTTTCGACCCTCGACATTCTACCCTCGCCCTATTACCCTCGACCCTCGACCATTAGTCAAACTCCTAAGAATTTGCTTAAGTGCTTAGTGTTGTTAATTAAGTTGTTTGTGCAGGAAATGTTATTTACCAAAAAAACAAAACCAGAATCTTAATGTTCAATCTGACTCCATCGGAGGAAATGTTTCTAAGTAATTAGCCATGTTTCCTTATTATGTAAGCAAACTAACCATGCTTCCTTATTTAGCATATAATTAATGACTCGCAGACGTTCTCCTATACATATACCTTGACAAGGGAGTCTGTCTCAGTATAACTTCGAAACGTCGGCTGTTATTATCGTTGTACAAGGTGTCATTGATGGAATTTTTTCTTACATGCAGCAAACCATTAAAAATTCTGCAATAGAGTTCAACACCTTCAACTGCGCATCACAGAAAAGTTCAGCTCTTATACTCGAGGTGCATGAAAAATGGCTCAATCTGATGTGGTCGTAGAAGTGGTACAAGCAAAAGAAGCTGATGAAGATTGCGAAAAACCAAGTACCTTAACAAGGTTGAAGAATTTCTGCATGCGAAATTACCTACCAATTGAAACCATACTCTCCATAATCATCGGAATACTTTTTCCTCAACCTGCAGTCTATCTCAGCCAAAGAATCCCAGTTGCAAAAATTTGCATTATTGTTCTCTTTTTCACCATTGGTTTACGACTACGTTTTGTGGAAGCAAAATCTGCGGTCAAATTTTATAAAGAGGTCGTCGTTGGCTTGCTTTTGGTCCTGTTTGTTGGTCCAGTATTTGCTACAAACGTGCTTAACCAGGTCCCATACTTTGATTCACTAATTGGTGATGAGCAGAATTCGAGAAACAGTTCGAATTCCTCCGAAGAAATGGCAATTCTTGGACCCGAGGAATTTCGTCTTGCTTTGCAAATATATTGCATGTGTCCAACGGCCCCAGCTACGTCACTCATTCTGGTAAGTTAGTTAATGTTAATTAGGACTATAGGAGAACAGGTTCTCATCAAGAACATGCAGTTTCATTTAGTAAATATATATATTCGTACACTATATAAAGAACACCATATAGTAAGACTATTTTAAGTACTGTAGCCATGAGTAAATTGAAGTATTCTACAAGTTATGACTCATGAGTATAAAACTTTCCGAGGTAGATGACGTGTAATAGAGTTGTATGCATGGTGCGAATTTTTAGGTCAATTTAGAGAAAATCTTGATCATATATTGTGTTTTCTACGACTTTGAAGCCAAAATGGCACATTTGCCCTCCCTCCCCAGTTTGGGGTTTAGCTTGACACGCGCAGGTGTACTACGAGTAACCCATGCGTTGAAACATTTGCCAACGTTTGTTTGTTTTTAAATATTCACTGTAGGTAACAGCAGCAAACGGTCACCGAGGTTTGAGTATCTTGGTTGCAATGTTGTGCACCATTATATCTGTATTTACCATCCCTCCAATGTTGACATGGTTTCTACCAACCTTTCAACATGTTGGTCTAAATGTTGGTCAAGTGTTGTTGGATACTATACTCAGAGTACTGTTGCCTTTAGTGGTGAGTATACTGTATGTACTGTAGTCTGTACTTTTATGAAACATTTTTTGATATTGGGTTTCGGCATTTTTCTTGCTTCGAAGTTGTATCATTATATAATTAAACAATCTGATAAACAAGTAATGTGCAGCATAGGAACATAGACAAGAGACGATACATCAACGCAGAGAATGTTGCAGGATTTTGCGGACGGAAATTTCGAGTGTAAATTTTGGACATTTTGCACATTGCATTATGCGCCCCTATAATGTAACACTTGCTGAACGAGGGCCGAAGGCCCGAGCCAAGTGCCGCAGGCGCGAGGTTTTTTTAGGATGGTCCGGAGGCATGCTCCCTCGGAAAATTTTTAAATTTAGAGTCTCTAAAATGCCATTCCCTGGACTTTGGGGAAAGTTTTGACAGAAATCTGATGGTCAGAAAACGGCATTATAACGTGTCAAAATTTGGTTGGAATTTAGTACTAGTACTTAATACTATAATCCTTTTCCGGCTGATAATTTCAGCAAAAATAAAACAAAAGTTATTCCGAATAAGGAGTGCATAATATTAACACACAATTTATTAAAACTGTATATTTCGAATCTAAATCAGATTCATCTTCAGCAGTAAATATAACGACATATCTTGCAAAACACTGCTGAAGATGAATCTGATTTAGATTCGAAATATACAGTTTTAATAAATTGTGTGTTAATATTATGCACTCCTTATTCGGAATAACTTTTGTTTTATTTTTACTTAATACTATATATCACGTGTTGTGTTGAATGTTGAATGTTGAATGTTGAATGTTGATAACGTCAAATATTACCCATATATCGACCGAGGCATATTCTTTATGCAATGTCATATCGCATGTTTTCTAATGAGTCTTCAGTGTTACTCGAAAATCCAAGTAATATAATCGATATTCAATACCGACTGTTAATTTCTAGCATTTCTAAACATTTTCATATAAGCGCTTTCGACAATTCTGATGTCAGACCTCCAAAGGTGGTAATAATATGCTCCTTGTCCAAACACATTAAAATCATCCGTTCAGTTGTCATAACGCTTCAAGTCTTTCTTGAGACATGGACGAACGTATGCGAGTTTTTACTCTCTTCAAATCTCTTAGTAAGAGCAGAGAAAGAGCGCTCTGCAGTTGCAGAGCTGATTGAAATTGCGACTGCGATCGCGTAAACGTTACAACTAGGTGGTAATCCCAGTTCTATTCTCTACTGATCTAGTGATCTGAATACATTTACAACTTAAAGCTTTTTTATACAATAACACACGGACCCCACGCATATGCATTTTAAGGTTTCCTTGCATAATACCAGCAAAAAAGGGCATAATTCCCGTAATCGCTTCGAAACGTGACCAAAATTCCGGCAATGCGACATTGCATGTGATCACTGATCGTGTTCCTACAGTGTGTATCAAAATAATTCGAATCCAAATTTGACAGACTGCTGTTTATAAAATACTAAAGTAAACCATATAATTTTTATATGGCAATAAAGAATAGCCTATTAGGTTTTCGATTATATCGTTCTTATATCAATAAGATCAAAAATGACCAAGAAATCGTGTGTTAAAACTGGTTGCTCGAAATCAAATTTTTCCGCCGATGGGAATTCGAAGTGAGACGTACAAACAAAAGATAATGCAAATTTAATTAATCAACAAACTGTTATGTAGCAAAATTTACATAAATTCATGTTCATTTAAAGAGATTTAAGCTCCTATGCTTTCAACATGTTGAACGAGAAGAAATTCGCGTTAAATTTGCATTTTAGTTTTCAGTGATGATTAGCATTTCAAAGCCTTGTGGGACTAACTTTGAAAGAAAAAATGTCCAATTCCCATCGGCGGAAAATTGTGATTTTTATGGACTTTTTTGTCAAAGCAATACTCCTTCATTTTCCAACTAAATGACGCGTACAGCATGTCATTTGAAAGATAAATAAATGAACTTAATGGTGTAAAAACCAACCGAATTTGTCAAATATATTCTGCGTTATTACACGCCAAATTTGGATTCGAATTATTTTGATACACACTGTATATGAACGATTTCGTGCGAGGTAGCAAAGACGGTTAGACAAAATAGTCTATAATTAAATATATCACTTTGTCGGCTGAATCTGCGCCCCCTTTTCAATTTTGCGCCCCCAAGAATTGCCAGCTGGGGGGGGGGGTCCCCGACCGGCACGCCACTGAATTTTATTTTAACCCCGCGTTAACCATAATTTTAATCCAGTCGCTTTTTCAGTTGTTCAACTATTTTTGTGTTGTTTTTTAATAGATGGGAAGATGTTTGCGCTGCGTGCCTCCCATAAAGAAAGTGGTCAATAAATGGAACGATATAATAAAATATTTTGGACTGAGCTTCCTTGTTGCATTATTCCTGGTTAAAGTGAGTGAAACGAGCGCAAGTGGTAATCTAGCCAAAGTTTCCGTTGTAAACATTCTATGCGTGGTTGCACTTGGAACAAGTCTTACAACATTTAATGCTCTATCAAGTTATGGTCTTATTTCAATCTTACCTTGGTTCTCAAACAAATCAACCGTGACATTATCAATAGTGAGTTCTATTCGAGTTGCAGGGCTGGCAGCTACAATTATTGATGTATTACCTGACAACATAGGAGACAAAGGACTTCTTGTTCTTCCTATGGTGTTTGTCTACCTTGCCACTCTATTGATGTTGAATGGTTTTGTATCTGTTGTCAAAGTCAAAGAGGAGGATACTGCACTGGATAGACCTTCGCAGACTACAGAGCAAGACAAGGAGCAAGACAAGGATATCAAAGAGTCAACTATAAACTCCGAAATTAATGAAGTTGCAATCTTTACCATCTACACTGAAGAAATGTCAGTCAAAGATAAACAATTGTAAACACAATCAAGACTTCTGGGAAGTGTACAAATATTTTATTATGATCCACGAAAGCCTTCTCATTTCCAAACTTAAAACTTCCCTGAACGTACAAGGCAGTTCAGTCCCGCTTCTTCTACTCTAATCCCCTTTCCATACCCTATGTACTTCCGCTCCCTTTCTTCCTTAGATTACACTTGTAATTCTATATTCTGTAATTAGTTGTAATTTATTCATGCATATATAACTTTGTAATGTTATGGCTATTATTATACGGGCATTATGCTGGGCATTGATATTTATTATTAGATTACGATTCCCGCCTGGTTCATCCCTCGCAACTATTATTATGTACAGGACAAAACTATCCTGTTTGGCGGTGGGTTTCACTGAGACAGTACTGCAATATAAAACTTCCCGACGAAGGGCCTTCGCTCGAAACGTCGAAGTTCTCCTTGTATTTTTATCCCTATCAATCCACAGCTTTCTTTCATGAAAAATAAAACCATGCCGGCACATGCTAACTGAAATGGAGATAACAATACACTCTTTCGATAATTACGCCACACATACTTTTTGGTCTTGGAGTCTCGCTCTCATTAGTAAATTATGCAAGGTGATTGGCTCACGATTCATGAGAGCGAGGCTTCCAGGCCAAATGACGTAATTATCGAAAGGGTGTATTGAACCAGCCTTTCTAGAATGTTCCCTTTCCAGTCTTGAAAGCCTCGAATAACCTCGTCTTTGCGAAAGAAGGTTTTGGTCACCACTGCTAGAAGCCGAATTCCTTGATTCTTGCAAGCTGCTTTTCACGATGACTACACAGTGGCGTAACGCTCATTAGGTAGGGTTAGTTCAAAAACTAAGGGCCCTCGACAGTTAAGGGTCCCCATCAACCACGGCCTATCGCCCAAAAAATTAGAAAATGTAAAAAATGCAGGTTAAGAATCAATGGGAAAATACAAAATTAATAATGCTAAATAATAAAGCCTCCGTCGACGACGGTAGCTGATTTTTCTATTCCATCTCAAATAGAACAAAAGTTTTCTTAAAAGTTGTTATTATATTGAAGACTGCTATTGTCATTGTTATATAGACACAGAATTTTTCAGAACATTCTATAAATATTCAATATAACTATAACATCTC